GGGCCCTGTTGAACGGATGTTGGAGACTAAAACACCAAAACATATAATGAGGCAAAACATCAGTAGGGAGAAAAAGGAAGACTCAAACTTAGATACATGGAACAAGTGGAACAAGATCTGAAAACACTTAAGATTACCAACTGGAAAAACAAAACAAGGAACAGAACAGAATGGCGAAAAATTCTAGAACAAGCAGGACTTAGAAAGGGTTGTCGAGCTACTGATGATGATGATGAACACAAATACAACACTTTAAAAACACCTGTCAAACTTTGTGATATATAAACTCTCGCGACTTTGATGTTATTCGTTTGACGGTACAAAAATAAACGACCTTTTCTTTATTTTGAATTGAGCTTCTGACCACAAATTGTCTTTCCAGCTTTCCTTCTCTCAATAAATCACAGTCTAGCATTTTAAAACAACCCAAAATTCCATTTCTTTCTCCCTTGCCAGCTCTTGGAAACAAACAGATAGCTAGTTCTTTTGACTTTTTAAACCATTCTTAACGTTATTTTGTTTTTCGAATTCTTTTGAAACAAAATCCTTCTAATCCTACTTAAATTAACTTTTTAACTAATCCCTTAATATATATTTTAATTATAAGCTAATGTTCTTTTATACCGATACAAACTAGAAGAGCTAGAACGAAGCTTGCTTACATCTAAAAATACAGTCTTCATCAAAATTTTCTTCTTTTCTGGATTTCAAAAACTTCATAAACTTTGCACTTTCAAAAACTATAAATATTTCAGTTTCAAAGTTAAGTTTCAAACTAATCATTTTCTCACGTCTATTGTTTGTTTCATGTGAAACATCTTGTATATTGTTGTTGTTGTTTGTTTGTGTTTAAATGACTGCGGACACTAAATCCATTCGCCAATCTTACAATTTGAGGTGTAGTGTGTGTGTGTGTGTGTGTAGAGTAATTGTCTTGATACTTAGCAAAGTCGACGTCATTGTCTTTGCTAAGAGACGCTAATTGTATCCGAACGTCTGCGGTCCTCCGGTGTGTACCGATCACACAAGGATAGAAATTATTTTCATTTATTAATTTTTTTTTTAATAAACGAAAATTTCCACCCAAGTGGGATATCTTGTATATTAAAATCTATAATGATTAATAAAAATTTTTAGTGTAAATAATAAGATTCAGGCATTGAGTCATATTTTCAACAGTCCAAAGAGCTTTATTTACTGAAAGAGTTTTTTTAATTTTCAAAATACACTTTTAAAATTGACACTCTGTTATATTTGAAATAGTCTGGCTAATAAAACAAACCATTAATAAACAAAGCTTTTATGCAATATTGGAGATGTGAATTATCATGCTTTTATGTTGTAATATCATAACTGTCTGCTTTAACAATCCTTTAAAACGAATTCACGTATAAATTAGAGTCTTTAAACAAAACACAAATTTGATTGTCATTCATTTAGATTAAAATGTTGCAGCACGTCTAACGATTCCCAATTAGACAGTATTGCTGATTCTATTTGGAGAAATTTCCAGCGTTTGAGATGGAATTATGTGTGATTCCACGTCCTTTCACTCTTCTACCGACTTATCCCGGCGTTATTCTCTGAGGTTTTTTTAATGGACTGCATTATTTTAATGCTCTATGCTACATAAAGAATACGAGTAACTTGCAACTAACTTTTATTTCTTTACGTACTATAGCTAACAGAAGTAGTTAGGTACAATATTCTACAATATACGTTGCTCACAAAGTTGTTAATTTCGCAATTGCGGAGACAAATTTTCCTATTAAAAGAGACAAATTTTCTTATTAAAAAACTATACTTCTTCCGCGAGAGTTTTTACTGACAGTTGTGTGAACTTGACAGTGACAGTCGAGCGAATTTTAATCATAAAAAAGGAAATATTATATTGGAAAATTA